TAACGACGTGAAGATCCGGATAAGAGACGCTTTTCGATCAATTGATCAAAACATGCTAACGCGCGTCAAAAATTCGTTTTTAAGAAGACTGGACGTATGCATCGAACATAATGGCAATATCTTTGAGCATCTACTGTAAGAAAAATTATTGTGCTATCAAAAAAACTGTTCTTTACCATTATACCAATAATTTTTCCTTGTACATTATCATTATCTCCCTATAATCAAATAAATTGTAGTTGATTGATTGATCTGTATACTTTTTTTATAATTCACTATCTTTTATAAAATTTTTGTTTTAAATTAATTTAATTTACAATATTTAGCCAGTTTGAACAGTACTATTGAAAATTGAAAATTACCGCGAATTACCGGAATTAAAAGAAAACTAGCAGGTAAAAATATTGACAATGTTATATCGTTAGAAAGGCAATAAAATTTCCTACAAGATGGTGTACAAAAAAGTAGGTAGTTTCATTTAAAAAAATCAAGTTACCTTTAATTGAAATTTTGTAAATTTGCTTATCGATATCTAAGAAGACAAACAGTATTCAATTATGAATCCATGTCACACAGTAGTACATTTCATGTTTACTAATAACCCAGAGTCACGACCTTCTAAGTTTTACAAAAGCGGCAATATTCATTTTTTTTCAAACCCCTACTTTTTTCGAAAATTTCGAATTGCCACTAAACGGTTGGTTTTAGGTACAATGTATGGTACATAAAGTCACACTAAAATTCACTAAAGAATTCAAAAATGTTATAATATATAGGGGGTTCCATTAAAAAAAAGGTAACTTTAGTGAATTTCTAATACTGACCCACCCTGTATATAGACGAAACTATTTTAATAATATGCAGTATTATTGTACCTACCTTTTGAAAAAAAAATCAAGTCGATATCTCAATTAGGTAAAAAGTTATGGGACTTTAACGCGACCCTGGGTCACCCTGTATGTAGTTGAATGCCATATGGATATTTTAAAAAATCGCGATGATTACATTTATGTCAAGAATAAAAGAATTCTTAACAACATTCAAAACTACCCTTTTTGCCCCCTTAGGGATTGAATTTTCTGATTCAACGGGTTTATGAAACTATCCATCCTCAAAGTGATCCTATGTAAGCAAAATTGTATGTCCAGCACTAGTAAGTAATTCCTGCATTTATGAATAAATTATAAATATCCAAACAAATATATTTCATCCTTACATATATACCTGTTATTAAAACTTCATATTAAGACTTTCTTTGAAAGAATATCTCAAGCTTTTATAAACCTGGATAAAAATTTTACAATTTTCTCTACTCATTTCGCATTTTATATTGCTATTTATAAGACTTTAAACTATTCCCTATTTTTTTAAATACTCTTTGTATGACATCTGCATATCTATGGTTAAACACAATTAGGGATTTGTATAGAAGCCCTTTTACCATTTCGTTCTATTGTTTTTTTACACTCGTTGACTTTCACGACAGCTCCTCTATCGCCAATCGCCACTGGATAAATCTTCTCGTTTCCACTGAATTGAGTATTTCTTTACGTGCGAGGAATTGACGTTGATAACGTGTCTGGGAATAGTTGGGCCCTTAGTATACGAATTGAGTTTCTAAGGAAAGTAATTTGGCTACCTGGTGGATTTATTTGATAGGAGTTTTTTAATAGAAACCCGTACCCAGTACATGCTGAATAATTCAAGCGTTTTAATTCAAAATTGAGGTAGGACTATAGGAGGTAAAATTTATTTTACTACTACAAATTTTGTTTGGCGGCATTAAAAAATTCGATGGCAAAAATAATTAATTCACTTAGCTGCTAAATAAATCAAATTACAATACAAAAGACGGTATGTAAGTAACCAAAGAGGAAAGATCAATTTCTTCACAAAAAATCTAATTCCCTTCACCAATAATTGGATATACACTAAAACGGGGAAAACCGCATTAAATAAAGGAAAATTCATTGATTTTCTTTAATAAAAGTTCTATTTTTGTGTTCAACGAAGGTGATTTGTTCGCACCTTAATAGAAGGATTTATCTTTTCACAGTTTGGATAGAACCAGTGCGCCACAGGAAAATTGGATTACATTTCGACGACAATCTGTCGAACGGAAAAACTCCCATTGCACTCTCCTCTCTATCGAATCAAATCCGTCTCTCGCCTTCGAAATATTTATGACAAAAAATGTGTAATGCACTAATGCATTTTTACCCATTGTAATTTTCTAACATCACCCCGTATACGTACATTAGTGAAATTTTAATCGTAAGTAAAAAGAATAGTTTATGTTACTGCAAAAGTTGTAGTATCTAATGAAAAGCTGTATAAGAATTGAATCCTTAACATTAGTTTAATGGCCAAACATCGTGCAATGAGAGCATTACCGACTGCATTATATGACGCAACACCAAGTTTACAATGGCTCCAGTGAATGCGAATGCTGTTATAATCTTAAATCCGCACCGTTAAATTTGAGTGTGTTATTGTTAAGAGACTCGTTAAGTTTCAAATAAAACATAAAAGAATGTGGCAAATGGCGGGCGGCGTTGCCTTATATTAAGTATTTTAGTGGAGGCGCCGACTGTTTTAATGCGTTTTAAAACTATTTTTTCGATTCTACTTTCCTCATTATGAGCCTGCAAAACCGCAGGAAAAAATTAATGGTGTCTAGGGAGGAAACGAATGAGCGCAATTTGAAACAATGAGGACTGTTTAAGAAAAGTTTTCTCAAGGATTTTTCCCGTTTTTAATGAAGTGTTGGATTCTACCGTTCAAATTACATGTTTAGGTACCTTTTACACAGTTTGAACCAATATTATTTTTTTAAATGGGGATTACCTATATATTAAAAATAAATTATCGGAGTACCTCATTTATTAACCGTGCTCGTATTTTTTACTCATATTGAATTTTTTACCGCTTTCAAACTTTTTCTGTCGTAAACAAATGTTCAAAAAGTTTATGTGGGAGACGAACAGAATACAATAATTATGTACACATAACTAACTCAAGATACACGTACTAAATCAATATAGGGAAAAACAACGTATCAGACAAAGGACCTGTTCATGCAGGACTCGCTTTCATCACATTAAAAACAAATTTTCCAGTATCTAATTTATAATGGCGTGATATATTCGAACTTGGCGGAAATTCAATTTCCGTTCACGGAAACAACTTAATTTGCATTAGGTTATATATCATTTTAATTCGGAATATTAGCATAAAATTTTCAAATTCGACGACCAGGCTTTGCGGGAGGGGTATTAAAAATTTTATATATTTTCCAAGAGCACTTGACTAATACAAAATCACGTCCAGAAAATATAGTGCTGCCATAAAATTTATGATGTACCTAGAGATAAATGGATTAGATTTTAACTTCCAGTGGGAATACTAATGAAAATATCAACTGAAAATAACTGGTATTAAAATATGTATACGATTAAAAAATAAATGATAAGTTAATTGAGTAATTTTGGAGTTATTATTTTTCGTCAATGCTTAATCAGTGATGAATATATGAAGGAAGTGCCATTTAAAAATTACAGAACCGAAGATACCTACTACATATTTAGAAAAAACTTTTATTCAATTTTTTTAATTCAAACAATGTATCGTAACAAAAATAATCGAGATTACAGAGGTAGGTTCAGACACGTACAAGATGGATCGTAGATGAGTACGCCCGATAGAATAAACAAGAGGATTCCCGCAAATAATTTAAAATTGCTATGGATTTTACCACAGCTTTTTGCTACCCAACGTTTATATTTGTTGCGTGTCTTGTGTACACTTCGGATGTGGAAAAGCTCATGCGAGGCAAAAAGGCGAAATATGTTGGTTTAAAGTTCCATGGAGCGGAAATATCCCGGGGAGCGTATAAAAAGGGTAGGCAACATACAAATCATCTGCAACTAAAAGAGGGATTAAAAAAAAGTAACAGATGTGGGTCTCGTATTTCGTCTACTTTAACATTCGGAATGAGGAAACACCTTTTTAGGCCAGATCAGAACGCTTTAAATGCTCCATTCAATGATTAATCGAGACAACTTTTCACGTTTCGAGAGTATATTGTTCTCAGATTCTATTCTATTCTACCCATTGTTTGAGTTTTAATATTTGGCTGTGTTGCAGAGAAAACTTCGGTTTAGTTTTATTTATAACTGCACGAACAATTAGTTACCTACATACGTATAGGTATTGTTACATTTATACGTTTTGCTAAATTCAATATTTTATTTTCATCAAAAAAGTTCATTTAAAATATTATAATTAATTTAAATTAAAAGGTAATTTACTATACACATAAGAGTATCATGAACGAATAAACCAGTTATACTCCAAATAACCAAATAATTTATATTAATCATAATTGACCTTGATACATTATTTAATGTTTTCTACATGTTCCTAAAAACATCAAATTATTGTTAATTTTCTTAATATCACTCCAAAATGAGCTTGAAATTCTTCCACAAACAATTCATTAGTAATAAAAAAATTTCCCGCAATTATTCGCAACTAACCGATTTCCCGAAATATTCGATTAACTTTAATAGTTGAAAACATTCCCGGAAAGTTTCTTGGCGTGCATTTCCGCCATTGTTCTTTTTGTCCTCATTAGAATAAATTGCCGAATCAGGCAATCAATAATGGTTCATCTATTTGTCGTGAGGCAGCAAAACGTATCTCCAGGCGAGACGTTCTTAGTCTCTCCGGGAATGGTGAAGACTCGACGAGAGCCGACTGGATAAGACGTGATGAGACGGCTCCAACGGATTCGTTAGGAATTTCTAATCCGATTTTCTTTTTGTTATGGCAGGATGATAAGTAACACTAAACGCAAACTGTTAATTAATATGTAATTAAAATATATTTGAAATATTAAATTAACTATTAGTAATATCTACTTTATCCTCGCTTATTAACAAAGTCATTGTAAAGTAACAAATGAAACAGCCAAAAAAATATATTGCTATTATTTTTTCTTAAATATTCACGCCTTGGGGAAGTTGTATTACCATATATTTTTGAATGCACCGTCTCATTTCAAAAGCTGTACGTTGTGGAGTTGGAAATCGCAACACTGTGCATTCCCTAGCTGCGCTATCAATGTTTTCCTTTGGCATTCCAAAATACGGTAAAACATACTTGAAGCTTTCTACGTTCACATCACCAACGTCATTTTGAATATTCACTTTTTTATTGAGGCAAAACAAATAATCACCGACGGCTGCGACATTGACTGGATCTTCTGAATAAACTGCGGATGTTTGTGCATCGTTTACTTTTGTGATGTCTTTGCATTGGACGTGGTACTGTTGAAAACGCGTTGCAAATGATTCGGATGCTTGTGAATCATTTACCTGTAGGAAAATTAAAAAATGAAATTCGTATAAATTTTAAGTAAATTAGGACGGGAAGTGCCTAATAATGAATCTCTTATTCAAATTAATACAAAGGTTTTTTGTTGCCTAATATTTTGTATACAAGATAACATAGTTTACTACATACGTGTACCCTTTATAAGTGAAGTGTAATAAATTAAAATTCTGTACATATAAAATAATGCAATAAACCAGTGCAATAAAATAAATTTTCCCATCTAAAAAATTAAATATGACCAGCGGAGCACAAACAATAAAAAACCCGAAAATTTTACGAAATTAGCGTTTTTAATTAATCAATATCTATATTTTTTGGAGAATACTCACCAAAATAATATCGAACAAAAACATATAAAACAGGAATATCATTTTGAAAAATATGTACTTATGTATGTATGTACATAGGTATGTTATTAACACAACTGGTCCTATAATTTGATACACGAGTTTATTTTAAATAATTACCAAGCAATGTTTAAAGTCCGCAAAATAGTGCAATTTTTTCGTTAATTAATTTTAAATGCTTTTTTCAGATCCGCTTGAAAAATCCTTGAATTGTTATAGAAAGTGTATCTTACGTATATCTTACGTGTATATTACGATATCTTACGTATCGTAACTGATTTACTTACTAGGGACCTTTGAAATATTCTGCTTGATAGATACATTTTATTTGCTATTTTATTTATCAAGAATTAAACTCATAATTGATAATGACTATTGTTTATTTAAGAAACCCTAATCATAATTATTAGTGAATATTTTAATGATGTCCTTCGTGGTGACCTTCATGATGTCCTTCATGGTGTTCTCCGTGAGCTCCGTGGTGATTGTGAACATTTCCTAAATATTTGCCAAGGCAACGGGCTAGGGCTATAGCTACATCCTCTTTAGAAGCACCAGCTTGTCTTTTTCCGCATTCGCCAACAACTTCTGTAACTTTAGCGGCGTCCTTGAGGTGGCGTTCGAGGTCTTTTTTCAATTCTTCTACATTGACGTCACCGTTTTCATTCTGTATTCCTAGTTTGACGTTCATGCAGAGCATGTGCCTGCCAAGGTTGGGATCGTTGGAGCCCTCCATGTGCATCATGGCTTCATGTGAAAGTTTGGTGTTAGGATTACTCTGGCAAGCATCGTGAGCCTCACTAAGTTTTTGTTGTTCGTTTCCTTGTTCGGCAAAGGCCTTTAATTAGACAAAAATGAATTATGATTCAGAGATAGGTAATTATTTTAATTAATTCGATTTTTGGTAATTTTAATAAAATCCAAAATGTTCAAAGAAATGTGGAAGGGTCGATATAAACAGGATATGTAAGTATTTTTAAATGATTCTAGTTCAAATTTTGTAGACTATTTCTGTAAAATGAAATTTATGATTTATAAAATTGTAATAGTGATAACTAATAACAATAACCATTAAAAAAATGCAAATTTATTAGTTAACTTTTACCTATTCACTTTTCGTATAAATTTATTTTTTAAACTTACCAAAGCCAAAAGGCAGCAGAAGGCAATGTAACTAAACTTCATGATTGATGAGCAAATCTGAACTTAATAACAGGTTAGTTGTTGGTACTATTTATATCTAGATAAGCTACCCGTATTTATTAGCTTAGGTCAAATTCGTTGACATTACAATAAATTTCGTAACTTATCAGAAGAAAATATTTTCTGTTTGCGCTGCATTTATTCCATTAATTAGATGCATTATTGTAAGTACTTCGTTGTGTGTAATACTATACTTATTATTAACAGAGAAAAGTAATCAAGCTTTATAGTAGAAAAAAAATAATTAAATAGTTATGGGTATCGTATTCCAGTTCCTATTAGCACTATCGTAAATATATTACATTTATCGCAAGTATAAAATGACCTTTTTGTCTGATATATAACGATGTTTTTTTTTCTTGTATCCAGGGAATTAATTTTCCATACTTATTAATCCTAGAAATACTCTTATATTTTTATTCAATTGAAAAATACGAATATTATATTTCAAAGTAGAAGATGTGCTAAAACATCATGATTCCAAAAGATCAAATCGAAAATTGTCAATACTATTTTTTCGGGAGACGATCCGGCATTCCCATTCCGCACTTCTGCACGATAATTTCCACTTTTTCCGGGTCCCTTATTCCGCTAGCCAAATCTTTTTCCATCGCTTCCTTATCGATATCGCCGTTCTCTTTCGGGCTTCCAACATTTTTTAAGCTTGGAGAAAAAGAAACTTGAAAATGGTATATCTCGAATATTTCATTTAGTGACTTTTACAGGTTTTTCGAATACGTATACCTATGCTTTGTATTTAGTGATATGTTTTTAAATACTCATCTTTGTAATATAAGTTTTTTAATTTATAAAAACGATTTTCTGAAGTAATATTGATCTGAACAAAAATAGCTTTTTAAACACACAGGTTTATTTATTAAGGCTTACAATAACACATCCATACAATAACACATTTTGTATAAATATAAATTACAAATATTCTAAACAGATACATAAGTATCTAATTTTCCGTTTGAATTTTACATTCACGGCAAAATTTTTCGTTCTGCCTATAGATTTATTTTAACAAAAAGTTTGTTTTAAATGGTTCACTGGTCAGTTGCAACGAACTTTAAAACTAGTTTGCATGAAACTCTTTTGTAAATGTTTATTCTCATAAGTAATTGAATCTAAAAAAAATCGAGAAAAAGTTTGGTTTCAATTTTTTTACTTTGTATATTTTAAGTAGTTGCATGTAGATAAGTGCATGAATTTATGAACTATGAATGTACTGTATATTTACTTCTAGATATCATTACGAAGACACTTGAAGCAAGTACAATATACTTATTACCTGTATCTAATTTTATTCAATTCAACTTTGTAATTTAAAAAATAAAATTTTCCCTTTATAATAGGTACGTTTTTAACTCTTTGACCTTAATCAATCAGTGTATGACAATTTTTCTAACCTTTAAACTTGTTTATCAATATTTTATAAGAATAATTTAATCTCTAGGATTTTTGTTATTACCACAATCAATGCTTTTATATAATTACTTAATTTAGTAAAACTCTCTTTGAATTTATATTTATTTATTTTTTGATATTCTAGGCTGATAGTATTCGTAATATTGCATTCCAAGCCTATGGAAAATCTATCAACCATGAATTAAATGCTTCATATCGCATTATGACGATACATCATAAACAATGAACTTTAATATTTGATACGAGCATCACGTATACCATTGTTCAATTACCAAAAACCTTCTAACGAATCGCCCAGAAGTATTTTATTGAGAGTCGGAAATTCCGAGTAGCAAATTGTTTTGACAGGGATAAATGCTGTGATCATTTAGTGCAACAATGAAGCCGTAACTCCAATCCAAGTTTTACCATCTAAGTTTCGCTATTTTCATTAGAAGTTCGATCTCTTATCTTCAACGGAATGCTTCGCCTTAGGTACAGTCGAACTTGATATTGATCAACAAGGAGTAATCCAAGGGATATTCCGGTTTTGAATGCAGTAAGTTGTTTCATTGTACGCAAGATAAGTGTACCCATTCTAATGAAGGTACAAGTAATGATGAAAACTTCAAATGCTTGTGCAGAAAGATATATTTTGATAGCGATTATTAATTTGGAACACCATTGAACAAGTTTTAGTTTCAGTATGTTTAGTATTAATTAGTCTATTGACCGTGATTAATTCCATGTTTAAAACAACTACGATATAGCAAAATGTTACCTAATAATTGCTCAACTGTGCATAAAACGTGGAGTATACCTACCTAAATATTGTTTTTCGTGTAGATTATAATGCAAACGCTTTGTTTGCGTTATTGGCGAAATACATACATAGCAAAGCACATAGGTACTTATAATGTAATGTTACAATCACGCCAAGTTAATAAGTGAGAATATAAAATATTGTAGTATTTACCTATTTAGAAATGAAATTAACGGTTTTATTCTTAACATGCGTGTATTTTGTGGCGTGATGATAAGAAAGCTAATTAAAGGCAATTAATTGCACCATTTTTCATTCTGTAACTTTTATCAATATTTTTAGAATGCAGGGACCTCCCTATATTAATACAGTTAAATATAATTTACATTCAAAATAAGTAGGTATGTTCAATAACGTTTATAATTGCCTTATATGGCCTTGTGCGGGATCAAAATTGAATTAATAGACGAGTGAATATAATGATCGACGTCTAGCCAGGCAGTAATTGCTCAATTCACTGCTATATAAATCTTTATTCATCCCAAAATATATATGACGTTTACTTTGTTCACCCACTCATTGATTTAGACATACCTTATAAAATCTTTCCCCAAATCGGTCAATAACAAAAGTCATCAATTGCTACGAATTATTTACGTGAATAATTTCCTTCTGTACGCCTTGTTCTGGTGCAGGCATAACCCTCTATAATTTTCCGAATTTCCTCGTCAAAATTTATAGCCCAGAAAGCCAAAATTGTTGTGTGGATTCTATAAACATTTATTATCAATAATAATCCCATTTCAAATACGCCCAACAGTTGTGACCAACACATTTGTATTACTTTATAGGAAGCTATAAAACAATGTCATAATGGCGCTGTTGGCACATTCAGTATAAGATCTATACGGATCATAAACTTCAATCACACAAGTTGAGAGGTAAACTTAGCGCACCGGTGTTTATAAAATGATATTTATGACTATGTACCAGCATTCTTAAACGTTATCACTTAATAACAATATTAATTAGGGTTTCAATGGATTTTTATATGTACTGGATGAAGTTCACCTTCGTTTTTTACTTACTGTATAAGAAGAAGATATGATATGATAATTCATACTTGTATTTAGTTTTCGGTTACATTGAAAAATTGCTGAATATATTTTTTTTTATTTTTAAGAAATTTCAAAGCGAACTTAATGATATATCCTTAATCAATGCTACGTAGTCTCGTGAAATACAGTTAACTAAAACTAAAAATCCCAAAAAGATAACGTCGTCATGTGTTTCCTCGAATCTGATGGGCATTTTGCGTCACGTAAAAGAGCAATTCGTGGAGACTTTCGGGCGATAACGCATGATGAATGATGCTTGTAATTGGCTACATCAACTTTTTTTCGTTGCAAATTTTTATAATTAATTCAGAAGTCTTTGCTTTGATGATTAATGCTTTTCTATTCATATTTAATACGTGACGGTGGTACTTTTATTTAATACTAACGCGCTTGCTGATGGATCAGTTTAATAATAATGCTGTCGTGCAAAGAAAATGAAATTAAAAAGCGACGATATAAAAATAAATTGGTCTATTTATACATATTTTCCTCATGGATTAAATTAATATAAAAAAATTCCTTTACGTATCTTTTAAATTCATTTGAGTTACTTATAATTGCTTTATAATTACGAAAATTTTATTAAAAAGTATTCGTAAACTTTGGATTGAAATCTATGTAGAAAGTCGAACGAATATTGCGGAAAATTTAAACGAAGCGGGCCAAGTCTTGCGAATGTAATTTCAATAAACGTGCAAATTCTCATCTACCACATAAAGCAAGTTTTCACCAAAGCATTCGTGTCGTTATTTACGTTTCCCATTTGCTATGGAAACGATATATTTAACGATATTCAGATTTTAAAATGAAAGAAACTTCGGCTAACAAAATGCCCAAACGCACGCAATTATCAGTTTAATCACGAGCATGTTAAATTTGATGTAATATTTCTCTCTTTCAAATAGATTTCTATTCGTAGGAATGAACCTATTAATTATTAAGTATATCAAAGTTCCGAAAATTAAAGCATTATCAACGAGTATCATGATACATATTAGATAGTAAAAATTAGTTGTAAAGAAAAAATCATTTTTAATTATTTTTTTTTTATATTTTGCCTCATAATTACTTGTATATATTAACCAAATAGTATTTTTTTGCCATAATAAAAAATAGCCTTAATGATATACTTTAAAAATATGCATTTAAATTTGCATTTATATTTGGGACGTTAGGTACTACAGACGTTTAATATTATACAGTGTGACAATTTAACAACTTACAATGGCTATACATAAAACCGTTTCTAGGTATAAAAAAGAAACTAAAAAGTCATAAAAGATAACTGACCCCCAAGGGTCCACCTACCCCAACTAAAGAAAAAAATAAATAGCGAACCCCTACTTGTAATACATTATTAAAAAGCTTACAAAACATGCTATCCAATAGTACAAGTTATAATTATACTGGGTGTATCAAAAATTACCAAATCAATATCCAATAATTTTAAAAACAAACAAACCCTACTTGTGATACAATGCTAAAAAGCTTTAAAAACCAATAAAAAACCTATTTTTAAAAATAAGTGTCCGTATGTACTTTTTTTGTTAAATAAATGTAAATTTTCGTTTGTGAGATGTAGCCCATTGTAAGTTTCTAAATTGTCATACTGTATAATTTATCCTAATTAGCACGTAATAAATTAAATCAATTTAACAAACTTACATAACTTCTGCTACCTAAATTGGTTA